ATATGAAGGTCAATTAAATTATAAAACATGAGGTAAAGTTCTCCTTTTTAAATTTATTTGGTGCATTTTAAATGTATTTCTTTATTTAAAGGTTCATTTATCTTTTTCTGCTTTTATTTCTAATTATGTCAGTTTCAGTCCTCCGTACTTCAGGACTTGGAAGAGGTAGTTCAGTGACTGAATCAGGTGTGTTGGAGCAGGGAAAAATGTAAAACAAGTAGGGCTGCAGCCCTCCAGGACCATGATTGCCCACCCCTGATCTAAAATGATCCAGAGTAACTAAAAGCTAAAAGTGTCAGAAGGCTAGCGTATTGGATCAAACGGCTAACTAGAAGCTAAAAGCAACAAAAGGTCAGACCTAAAAGTGAGCTAAATGTATCAGAAGTGTAGCTAAAAGACTAACAAAGCCAGTTTGAAGCAGATTTCAAAGACAACAAAAATTGATAAAATCATGTATTTTTTAGGGGAAAATTTGAGTGAAGTTTTTTTTTTTTGAAAAATATATAAGCTACAAAAACCAAAAGTCAAAGCAGCCTGAAGAAGCTGAACATTTTGACATGTGATCAGCTAACATAGCACAAAGTGGGCAGAGGTAGTTACATAAAAAACATTCAGAAAAGCAAACAATAAAACCCTGAAGAAAACAACAATATGAGCTGAATCAACATTTACCTAAATGTGATTTTGTTAAATTGTTCATCTATTAACATGATTTTACCTTGTGAAATAACACAAGTCTTAAACTGATCCTGTTCCAACACAAACAGATGTTGTAGCTCAGGAAAGCATCAAACACAGAGAAGATGTTCTGATGTTTGTCCCATCAGTGGAGCTGGAAGTTCTGCACAGGATCAAGAGTCCAAAGCTCCACTGTGTCTGTCTGTCTATGAGCTTTTATAATTAATTTATGGGTAAAATAAGTTCAGTCAAAAACCCTTTTGATGATTTATTAAACCGTAGTGGAGCACTTCTGGAACAAATAGAGCAAAGATATGTTAAAATAAGATGAGACGATGACCAACACCAGCAGAAAATCAGATGAACGTGTATCAGTTACACTTTATTTTAAGTTAACTGTCACTCACCACAAAAAGTGGACAATAAGTACTTGTGTGTATTTATTTATTGTTACCCCAGTGTATAGTGGCTACCACAGCTAAATGTTAGCCAGCACAATAGTTGCAGTACAACCAGTTTCTCCGATACTGAGCTAAAATTTGCCCTGGTAGTAACCCATCATGATTCCCAATGCGCATCATCTTCATTTAAACTTTGTTGAAATTTCAACATTTTACATCAACAAAAAACAAACAGGAGGGTCCGTCGGATAGTCGAACCTCGGATTCAGGAAGAGCAGTGTGGTTTTCGTCCTGGTCGTGGAACACTGGACCAGCTCTACACCCTCAGCA